TTGTTTTCCAATTTGCAGTAGGTTGGCAGTCATTCAATTAGAGATAATTTGGTACGGCAGCTCTCTTCACTTGAAGCAGTTCATCTCAGTCCTCACGAGTACATTCACTCCATCTCAATGCCAACTTTCCTCAACTAGACAAAAGCATAGCAGAAGTATTTTTGGTTGGCAAAGCCGGCAGGTTTTTGGAGGCTCTGTCATGCCCCAGCAGGGCAGCAGTCAGGTTATAATTTGCCTTAATTGTTCTGCCCACAAACAGCAACAACAATTATCTCTAGGTCTTTGGCATTTAAAGAAAGATTTTTTTTCCCCAAGACACGTTCCACAAACACCTTGATGGAGATTAGACTGCAAAGAAAAAAAGTATTTCTAATTTTGACTACTTTTTTTTCTTGACTGGGTATGTGCTTTTGGAATGCAACTGACAAACCTGCCCATGTATCTGTATGAGCATATTAGAAACATGAAAATAACTCAGGAAATTTACTGGTCTCCCATAAAACAACCAGGGTTCTATATGCATAATTTGTTCCACCTGCCATGTTTACAAGGCACCCCAAGGAGAATGAGCTTAAAACCCAGCAATCCATCAGCCTCCCAGTTCCAAGGGGTAATTATTGCCTCAACTAAGCAAAGAGAAATGCACAGCATGCTGCTAACCACGCCAGGTGACTGATGTTTACCGCTCATGCTCACCAGGTCACCAGCTTTTCTAATAGAGGCTGAGGTCATGGTTTGATAACAAACACAACTCATTACTAACAACAAAAGAAAAGAAAAATATGAATAGATGTCTACATTCAATGGACCACACCCAGAACACACATTATAAGTGTGAGACTTATTACTTCTCATGAAAGATGAGGGAATAAATGTTGGGTAATTGGAGGGGTTTTATTTTTATTAAGTTATTACTCACAGGACTTCCTATACATTCTTTAAGTTAAATAAAGCCCTCATCCTTTTCTGATATATATTTATTATTATATACTATGTGTATATATGTATATATATTATATATAATATATTACATATCATATTGTACTTGCTATCCACACAAAATAAGGCCGGATCTCCAGTAAAACATAAACTTCACTGTATCCAATTAAGGTCAAGGTGATGAGATGGAATAGAAGCCGTAAGGAATGGACTGTTTTCATGCTAGGATGAGGCTCAAGTGCAAAAACTCTCAGGCTGGAGAAATGCACACAATGTACACAAATCTTCCCAGAGAATCTGCCAATAAGCAGCTATTCAAAGGAGAGCTCTTTGGGGACACACCCCAAATGTATTGCAAAAGGTCACACACAACTCCTACCCTCTGAAATGAGATAAACACAACATACAAATTAGCATATAGAATATCTAGTCATTAAATGTTCCTTGCCTGGGCTCCCATGGGAAGAAGAGAAGGAGGCAGTGGAGTAGGGGGGAGGGATAGGAGAAAGTAGGTAAAGATGGACAGGTCACTTGGAAATGGTGCCAGTCTTTCAATTTCACAAATCAGTAAAAGTGTAAGGAAAAAGAAACCAAACCTATGGGATTGGGGAGCTAGATGATACAGAGTTGTCAGTTATTTGGTCAAAGTGTAAGTATCATCTACTATAAGAATATTTATTTGTATGTAATAGAAATGTCAGACCCTTAGCTATTCACTCATGACATTTTCTTTCAAAAATGGATATTTTAGAACATATGATGCTTATTATAATTCGTGTCTTCGAGACAGATTTGGGGAAGAGATAATGTAGTTTTCAAATTAAATTTCAGAGTGTGTGGGTAACATCTTCCGTATTTCCTCTCTCTGATTGTATGAATTCCATTAACTCTCCACATTCCTCCCCGCCCCCCCCCCCCCCTTCACAGTGGTGAGTGTGGTGATTTCTAGTGAACATAAGCTAGGGGGAGTTGAACCTACAAGACTATGAAGCTTTGGTGCCAGCAGACACCTCTAAGTTATTTTAGTCTCATTCTGGCAGAGAATGACATTTTTAACATTTGTGTTAATGTTTGTATCTTGTCTCTTTTAACTGCCATGATTAAGCAAGGCATATTGTGGCTTCAGTGTTGGGGGCGGGGTTGGGGAGCTGGAATAAAACCAGCTGTTTCCCCCTGCTGGCTGGACATGTTTTACATTCTCTACCTCACTGCCTGCAGCATTAGTGCTCCCCATAGAACCAAACCCATTTATTTCCCACCCACTGACTGACCTCCTAAAGCATCATTAACATGCCCCCAAAGGCCTTGATGCTGTCAATTTTAGTCGCTCAGCATTCAGAAGCCTTTGTAGGGCTCATCAGAGCTCTGCAGGAAAGGAAAGCAAGAAAGGAAAAGGTATCAGAGCCAAACCTTGGGGAATGGCCAACACAGGAAGATGGAGAGAGAGGTCTGGGAACAGAAGGAAGCCTATCTGAAGACAGAGTGCAAAGCTAAAAATTGAAAGGTTGGTTTACAGACACCCATAATTATATGTTTCTGCCACTGAATTCTCAGTTAGTTAATGGCAGATGGATCAATATCTACTTTCGATGTTCATGTACACCATTATGGATGAGGTGGGAGGCTAGTCTTCTGGGAAGAGGGAAGGATTTTAGGAAATGGGTCTAGGAGAGAATGATTCATAACCAAAATTAATAATTTTAATGGTTTACTTGGCTTTTGTTTTTTGTGGTGCTGGTCCTAGGGCTTAAACTCAAGGCCTGAGCTTTTCTGCTCAAGGCAAGTGCTCTACCATTTGAGTCCTAGCTCCATTTCTGGCTTTTTAGTGGTTAATTGGAGATCAGAGTCTCATGGACTTTCCTGTATGAACTGGCTTTGAACCATGAACCTTAGATCTCAGTCTCCTGAGTAACTAGGATTACAAGTATGAGCCACTGGTGCCCAGTTTGGTTTACATTTATAGCTTCTGATCATATCTTTGGATTCTTTTTGGCATTGTTTCAGTCAACTTTCTATAATCTGATAACTCTACTCACCCTGGAGTTAGTTACAGAGAAACTGATTATGTGGAGAGAATATCAAGAATGAATTTGGAACTGTGTAATGTAAACACAGCAGTATCAGCTTGAATGACTGAGTCCTGAGTTCTAGAACATAGTTAAAGGAAACAGCTACATTCTGTAAATGTAGCTCATGATTCTAGAAACTTTAACTGCTCCAGCTTGTCAGGAATACTGGTTTCTTTTTATGTATTTTTTGCTCCCCCTGGAAGAATATTTGCAACTAGATTTCTATCATTTAAATGACAATAACATTTAAAACTGTATTTTCCCCCCAGAACCAAGCAGAGAATTTAAGGTTTCATAGTGCAATAAATAAATAAAAGCAGGCAGCACAGTTTTTCTAAAATACAACTTGTGTGTAGGAGGAAATTACTCTGTGGAAATATGCCATAAATCCAAAGCTATACTTATAAAAGGACTTGAAATATGTAGTTTTTAGCACTCAATGCTGTGGAATGTTGGATCTGCTTAGTTAGAACATTAATCACAGCATCTCCATTCACAGGAGCCTTCTATGGGCATTCATCTTCAAACAATATGTTCCCTAAATTAGTTCTAAATAAACCTTATCCACTATTAGACACCCTTTACTAACTATAAGCCAATGACTCCTTCAGATACTACCCAAACTCCTAAGAGTTTTCAAAGAATACACATCCTTGTAAGATATATGCTTCATTCTCTTGACAAAGCCTGTCAAGTGATCTTGGAGGTGCCTCGAGGAGCTATGTAAAACTTCATTAGCTTTTGCCAATGGAAATCATAGCTCAGCCTATGAAAAACCATCATTTATTAAACACCTCTATAATCCAGGTTCTGCCGAGGGGTTCATTAGGATAACTGGTCTCATAGAAACCTCATAACAACTCTACAGGTTGCTCCTTAATAGGAAAACCCTAAATCAAGAATGCTTTAAAGCGGGAAGCTTCTGAGCACTGACCTAAGGCCATGAGTGAAAAATTCTATAGCTGACACATGTCACAGATTCCAGGCAAAATATTGCATTAAATTACCTTAGGCCATGTATGTTAGATGTATAAGAAACACAAGTCAATTTTGTATTTAGACTTGGCTCCCATCCCTAAGACTTTCATCACCTATTAAAATGACTCCAAATTAGAAATTAAAAAAATATATGTGAGATTCCAAACAGTTATGTCTCCAAACATTTCTGATAAGAGCTATTCAACCTGTATATGCTATACTAACCCACTAATATCCTATTTTATGGTTGTAACAACTGAAGCTTTGGAGCTTAAGCGACATGCTCCAAGTGACATAGCAGTAAGTAGTAGCAGAGTCAAGGATTCCAGCACTGCCCACAATCAGGCCTCCCACATGACAACACCCATGTTCTTCTCCTGTAAACTACAAGACCAGCCATTTAATCACATCCTCTGTAGTCCTTGACCTCATTTATTAGATGTCACTTCATGTTGGAGACTTCATATTAAACACAAAGACTTATGAAGGTGGTTAGCATAAAATTCAGTCTACTACACTTGTACATTTCACAAAAAAACACATTGCTTAAGCAGTCACAGAAACAAAAAGTTAGATTTTCAAGTGTAAATTATAAACTAGAATAATGTATTAAAACAAGTACAAAATTCCAATAGGTTGAATCTGTGAGTGTTTGTTTGTTTGTTGGACATGGAGCTTGAACTTAGGGTCTGGGCACTGTCCCTGAGCTCTTTTTGCTCAAGGCTAGAGCTCTAACCACTTTGAGCCACAGTGCCCTTTCCAGTCTCTGAGTGGTTGATTGGAGATAAGAGTCTCATGAGGACTGTCCTGCCTGGGATGGCTTTGAATGGAGATCCTCAGATCTCAGCCTTAGGAACCTGTTTTATGTGTAGGTTAAAACAATCAGAAAAGTTCACCGCAGAAGTCATCCTAACAGTGGAAGTTCTAACCATCTGCGTGGTCCGGCCTGATCCACCTACAGTCTACCTACAGGCATATGCTTCCTGCTATGGTGTCTTCCAGTGGCTACTGTACCTGAGCAAAAGCTGTTGCTGCTAATGGTCCTCGCTGAGCGCCCAGAGCTGCTGGGATTGAATTCTCTGCTCTCCTCCTCTGAGAAGGGAGACTCGGAGGCTGGGGATACTTTGTGCTGCTGCTGAGGGAGATGAGGCCGAAGAATCAAGCGAGGAATCCGACTTCGGGAAATCTCCTTCTCATGATGCTGTGCTTTCTGCTCCTTCTCAAAATTAGAAAATAAAGAGACTCTGTTTCCCACAGTCCACTCCTGTCTAGTTTCCAAGAAGCCACATTTCTGAATAAGATTCAGTGTGATCCTTATCTCAATAACTGAAATGAGTTCCCCCCAAATCCATTACTCCTCTGTGTGTATACCTCCCCCAGCATCCCCCCCTTCCCCCACTCCCCGCCCCAGGGCGTTCCCCACATCGGGTTTTTCTATCTATCACCACCCGCCCTAGGTCCTTCACCCACTCACATCACACTCTGGCCAGTTAAGTTATTTCCTTTAGATTTCTAGTGTGCCTTTTCCTAAATTAATAGTGACAATTTGACTTTTGGGTGTTTTTTTCCCCCCATCTTCTCAAAATAAATAAATAAATAAAGACTCCTAGATCGAAACATCTTTTTTTTCTTGGTGGATCACACACACTTTAAAATCCCTCCTCCTCTTCCGGACAGGACCTTAATTATTCATTAATATCCTGGTATACAAGGCTCCTTGCCAAGAGAAAAGCAAACACAAATCCAATACCCAGGAAGATGGCCCCAAGCTCTTACATCACATGTAGCTTTGTTTTCCTTGCTAGGTACCCACGAGATAAAAATAAAATAAAAATGTCTCCCTCTGCTTAAAAAAAAAAAAAGTAACATTCAATACCCCGCGTTGCCTTAAACACAGGCACCAAAAGTCAGATTCTGACCAGGCTTTCCGATTTTCTCCTCTGCTCTCCACCGCTGAGGCTGCAACACTGGCGGGGTGGGGTGGGGTGGGGTGGGGGCTGGACTAATGCATGTCCCTGTTTACAGATGAAGAAACTGAGGCCCAGAGGAGCCTAGCTTGCTGTAATGATCTAGAACAGAGAAAGCCTCTCAGGATGACCACCACCCGGCCTTGCGAACACCAATTCCTCAGAGGAGCTTTGTATTTTCCCCTCCCCTCTCTCCAAATTCCAGGCTCCCTCCAACCTCTGCTACTGCAGGAGAGAGGGCTTCGGCCCGGGTCACAGACGCCCTTTCTCAATCCGACCTCCCGCTCATTTCCATGGTCACCACCCGCCCGGGGGTCACGGCCAAAGTCAAGCCCGCTGGGAGGCGGCCCGGCCCCGGCGCCGGCACCGGAGGGGACCCCCCGGGCGCGCGCGGAACGCGCGCGGGGCCGCTCAGGCATTCACGCTCTCCCGGAGCCGCCAAGCCGCGCCCCGCCGCGGGACCGGCCGCGGGACCCGCCCCGCACGTCCGGCAGCAGGCGCGCAGCAGGTATGCCACGCCGGCCGCTCGGGCTGGGCACCGCGCCGAGTCCGAGCAATGCTGGGTCACTCACGGGCTGGAGTCCTCGCTCCTCAGTCACCAACGTGTTAGATGCACACGCACACCTACGATCGCCGACACTGCCCCCCCCCCCCCATCCCACAGTTTCCCCAGATAGGATTCGTTACCCTCTGAAGTCATCCCTGACTCGACCTCCCCTCCCCAAATCTCCGCACCCAGGGCCACCTCCCATCCCATAAGCAAATGACCGCCCCGCCCTCCGCCCGCCCTCCCCCTCCCTCTTCTCCCAGCCCTCCGCGTCTCACCTCTGCCCCAGTGCTCGCCCCGCAATGCTCACTCACCTGCCGTCTCGTTCCCGTCTCGGACCCCGCCACCCTGCCACCCACCGCCCGCCAAGGGTCCTCCTTACCTTGCTTTCCCGGAGGGGCCCCATGACGCCGTCGCCGCCGCCCGCCGGCTCGCGTCGCCGCCGTCCAGGAGGAGGCACCTGCGCGCGCGGGACGAGGACGCGGGTGTCAGCCGCGGGGCTGCTGCGGGGCGGCGGCTGCGGTCCCGACGCGCCGCACCGCCGCCGCCACCGGTGGCGCTGGGCTCCGCGGGCGCCGCGCCCCGCCCCGCCCGCCCCGCCCTCCGGACACGTGGTGTCCCGGCCGCCCGCGCCCCGCCCGCGCCTTCACCTGTGGGTCCCCGGGTCAGCCGCCCCACGCACCCCGCTGCGCCCCACCCGCGGGGATCCGCAGTGCGGCCCGGCCCCTCCCCTCTGCGCCCTCCCTCCGGGTGAGAGCCGACCCCGTCCCTCCCCGCCCCCCCCCCACACCCAGGAGCCCACAGGTGCCGCACCCCCACTTTGCGCCTTGCACCCACCCTTGGTCTCAGGTGTGATTGGGGGTGCTCTTTGGATGGCGAGGCTGAGATCAGCTGCGACGTCACCCACAGCCAACATGGAGACAGAAGGAAAGTTGTTTGTTTTTCCCCTCCTCCGGCTCATCTCCATTTATAAGTAAATTACAATAATTACCCAGTCTGGGGGTTCTCCCTCCCGGACCCCAGCCCAGTCCCTGGCTGCGGGGCTGACCTGGCATCTTGATTAGGGATTTGAAAGGCCTGTGGGTCTCTTGGGGGTTGGGGATTGGCCGCGCAGCCCAGCGACACAGGCAGGACGCGGTGGGGGGGGGGGGGGGGGGGAACCAGGCTGGCAAGGCTCCCTGCGCCTTGGGGAAGCCAGGCCGTTTTTACCGGGACAACAGCCTTTCACCCAGCTGTGCCCACAGTCGCCCTCCACCGCCTGGAAGAAGTCCAGCCCCTGCTCTCTCTCTCTCTCTCTCTCTCTCTCTCTTTCTCTCTCTCTCTCTCTCTCTCTCTCTCTCTCTCTCTCTCTCTGTGTGTGTGTGTGTGTGTGTGTGTGTGTGTGTGTACCGCTCCTGAGCTCAGAAAGCCAAGTTCAAGCCAGCATGCCACAGCCTCCAGGCTGAGGGCCTTCATGTGTAAGGTCTTGACCCCTGTGAACTTCAAGTTTCTCCTGGGTGAAGTGGGGGAAAATGATCATACCCACCTCGAGGGTAGCTGAGGATTAGATGAGGGAAAGCAAACAGCTGTACCCAGCAGATTGAGAGCTTTCCAAAGGATGGTTAGGTCAGGTCCACGTGGTCGGGTGTTGGCTGATGCCTTTTATGTGACAGGCAGAAAAAGCATTTGTGATGTAGATAAATTTGCCCAAAGAAAAAAAAGGCCCTTAAAAAGCCTGTCCAATTGAGGGTGTAGATTTACCCCATTGATTGATGGATCCCTTTTGATTGACTTAACAATCTTTTCTTCTAGTAATGGAGTTCAAAATGTAAAATAACTTACAAATTCTTTTATTCTCATTAGCAGTGTGGGCAGTAAACAGTCTGATCCCTACCACCCCTTTCTCTGTGTCTCAATCCCAACCTTGGAACATGCAGTGAGTCCAGCCAGAGAGATCCTAAACCTACAGGATTAGCAGAATCAATTTGCTCTCTGCCTGTAATTCCATAAATCTTCCTCTCTTTTCAGTCTAATCAGCTGTCTTTAGCGGTAAGACTAGAAATTTTAGGATTGTTTACTTGGAGGGAGGATGATTAATTCATCCTTTGTACGTCCAAATCTGTTTCAATTATGGATCTCATGAAAATGATGATCCAAGATGATAGCATAATAGACTGTATTATTTCAAAATTATGTGCCAGGAGCTAGGCTTTGGTGGATCCAGTCTTTAATCCTACCTACTCAGGAAATTTGAAAGGAAATATGAGGATCAAGCCTCAAGGCCAGCCAGGGAAGGAAAGCTTGTGATACACTTATCTCCACTAAACTATCAAAAAACAAACAAACAAACCCCCAAACAACAAGCAAAACAAACAAACAAGACCAGAAGTAGAACTGTGGCTGAAGTGGGAGAGTTAGCCTTGATCAAAAAAGCTCAGGGACAGTGCCCATGGCTTGAGTTCACACACACACACACACACACACACACACACACACACACCACATACACACAATTATGTGCTGGTGCCCTCACAGGGCAAGGTATGAATTATTAAGGTAAAAAAAATGTCCAGTCCGAGGACCAAGTGGCAGAAATACTGCATTAAGTTGTCAAAGTCAGACCCTCAGGCTCCTTCCTGACATCTTTCCTGTTCACTCTACCTCATCTCTCTCTTTCCATCATCCACAACATGCCTGTACTGTGATGTTCATGCTAACTTGACAACAAAAACTTGAATCTGATCTCTTGTCCACTGTCCATCTCCATCATCTTCATCTAGAAGTCAAACTGTGATCACCCTAGATTATTTCAATAATGGTCTAACTAAAGTGGTCCTACTTCCAATCTTACCTCTCATTCCTTCTTCCAATTGGTTTTATTTTTTCCACAAGACTTATGGAAGGCCAAATAAAGTCCCATTTCTCCACTCAAACACTAATCTGTTGTCCTCTGGGTAATATCTATCCTCCTTAATGTAGCATCAAGGCCTTTAATGATTTGGATGCTCTGTTTACCTGTCCATTTTCATTTCCTCTCTACTTCGCTATAAATACTCCTTCCTCTCCCCAGCTCCTCCTCCCTCTCCCACTGGTCTTCCTCCACACATAAATGCCAAGTGGCTGAAGCTATAACCCTTCTGCTCTTCGTTTGATTCACATTCTTTCCGTCTAGACTAGACTGCTGCCCAAGCTTGTCCCATTGGTTAGAGTGTTTCTTCCAGTCATTCCACCCTTCTTCTCAACTCCTAAAAATGAGTTTTATTTCAGACAGCTCCTCCCAAGAAACCACCCCTACTTATAAGACACCTGTGTATGCCTCCAGGAGAGGTGTCATGATCTTGATTTTAAGTAGGCCTAGCATCGTTCCTGCCATACAGTAGGCACCAATGTACAACTCTCAGAGGAATGACTGCATGAGCACTGATCCTCTGCAGAGGCCAGTGAGCACAGTATAAAGAACATAGATACAACTTGTGTTTAACAAATGCTCAGATACCAATAATGTCTTTGTATTTTGGAGATGGGGTGTATTCCTAAAAAAAAAAAAATCCAACATGTGTTCAGTGAAAGCCTTTACTGCAGAAGTGCAGGCTGTGAGAGGCTGTGCAGTAGCTCTGCCGTCACCATAGCAACCTCGCCGAGGGAAAGGCTGATGGTTTAGTGTTCAGACGTCTCTTAGCTCTGTACTTTTGGAACCCAAGCCTGTTTTTCTGCTGTTCTAAAAGGCAAGTTTTACAAATGATAATATCTCTGCTGCTTTTAATTTCATTCAAGTGTTTCTCATGTCATTAAGAGCAATGTCTTGTAACATCTGGGTTGCATCATCAAAGGGATATAATCCAATACAGCATAATGTGTTCATTTCTCATCTGCGTTACAATATTTTTATGCATAATTTTAATTCTCTAGTTAAATACCTACTGTCTTTTCATTCTAATTGTCTGGCTGTTCTTGAAAAATGAGTGTCTTGCTGGGTTATAGAGTCTATCAACTATTTAAAAGGCTTGAGCCCTTAAAGATAATAATTGACAAACATATCCAGACCCTGCAAGAAACAAGGGAACCAGGGGATCATTATAGGTTTGGAGGAAAGAAATGTCTTTATAAAATTATGCCCTAAATGTGGGATAAGTTATATGATTCTTTTTACAAAATTGGTAATTCTAGGATTCATACCTTTTCAGATGCCCAAAACTTTCTATTTTCAGAACTCTCTATGTACACATATGTACATATATATATATATATATATATATATATATATAATCGTATATAAGGCTTCTGAAATTTCTATGAGGTCTAAAAGTGGCTAATCCCTGAAGCCAGATGAGCAATAAAGGACAGGATTTTTATTGGCAACCCTTCACCCCCCACAACTGGAAACTTCACAAAAAGACAATACAAATGCATTGAGGAAGTCTTTGTACCACACAACCGAAACACATCCTAGTCCTCTACATCCACCCATCCTCACATCTCACCTGCGTATGCTGGAGCTTTCTTGGACTCAGTCAGGGCTGACAAAGCACCATCTCCTAATCCTATCAGCTGTGCGAGCAAGCGCTGCCGTCTCTCTCAGTGACCCGATGTTGGGTGATCTGCACAGCAACAGGGAGCAGCTGACGTGCTTTACAACACGTCACGAAGAAAAGAAACTGCATTCTGGGGCATCCTGGGATTTTTTTTTGTGGTGGGGTGGAGACCCATATTTTTCTTACCAGGGAGAGAGCTGCCTGTTTTCACGTAAGAGCATGTGTGAGTGATCATCCCTCCTCTTATTGTATGTGTGTTATTGTTACTATGTGGTTAAGATATTTTGATGTTGCAAAACTGGTAATGAGTAGGATTATGCAAGATCACTCCCTGAGGAGAGGGCCCAGAGAGTATTTGGGGCAGAAAGAAGAGTGGGTAACCTGAGGCAGGGCGTCGTGAACATTCATTGGGTTCAGAGTGTGCCAATTATCTCCGCTCTGCAAATGAGTTTTTAGTCAGAGGCACTTCTCAGTGAAGAGCAGAAATGAAGAAAAAGTCCAAGTGGGGAAGATAGGTTGGGGCTCGGGGCCTTGAAGGATAGTGAGGGTATCTTTCTCTGCTTGTCTGATCGGGAAGCAGACGGAAGGTAGTTTCCCAAAGCATGCTATCTGATGTTTGTGGCCTTTTGTCCATTGGTGAGCGCAGGGCAAGGAACTAGCCAAAACATAGGTGCAATGGTTGTATTAAATGAAATAGGAACACAGGTGGATCAAATAGGTAAAGCTTTGTCGGGGTGATAGATTAGCATGATTGCTAATTAAGGTCTCTGGACAGTGCAAGCGTGGGGCTTACTGTTAGGCAGGAAAGACTGAGTCTTGCCATTTACCTAATGAAATGCTGAGGATGACTAGACAATCTGTTGGCCTCACAGAGTGACGGAAAAGGCAAAGGAAGTTATCGATGAGTTAGGCACAGAAGGCCTAAATCCACA